TGAGACATTCCAGTAAGTTGCACTGTTTCTTTCATCATCTTCTGATGTTCATGACCACAATAAAGAGCATCAAAACCATATTTACTTTATTCAAAAGCTAAGACTTTGTTTCATATTAAAAGTAGCAAAGCACAAAACTTATTGCGATTATTGCATGGCAGGTATGATAAAAATAATGTTTTGTGAAGTTCATGCATCAACAAAAAACAGACTAAAAGATTGATCTTGAGATCATTAAGAATCATATCAGAAGCAATTAAAAACAAGAAATTGATATTGGTAATCCAGCACTAGAGTCCACACTGTGTACCTGTTGTAGTTTATATATGTTGTGTGCACGAAATAGACACTAACAGAGTCAAAATGCACCACTGGAGAAACACTAATTAAAAATCACTGTTTTTGTCAATGAAACCAAAAATTGCTGTTTTGGACAAAAATGTGCCAACATTTCGGTGCATCACTAAGTTTCATAACATAAACGATGTTAAGATGCAAGAAGCATTCAAACATACCTGCAGGTCTGGCACACCTTGCACTCGGGACACTGCCAACCTGACCGCTGAAGTGGTGTGGCACTGATCTCAAGACAGGCATCATGATAGTGCTGCCCACAGCCCGTACAGTATAGCAGACCTGACAGTTCCCCAATGGAGTCACACACTGCACACCGTGCTTCCTCTCCGGCTGCAAAACAAACAGAGCATCATCTCAGAAACAGCTGAAACGGAAATGTTATTTAATGATGATATCGCATCTGTTCCGCTGCAATTCCATACCAATCTCCTCGGCCTTGTCTATGTGCTCTGGACAGAGGAGCGCCAGCTGCTTCATGGACTGGAATGATCCACTCGCAGCTGAGCAGGGGAAGTGGTAGAACCGTGAGCAGCCTTCGGCCCGGCACCGGATGGTAGCACCCATCCGTTTACAATAATCACATGGCTGAAGCAGAGATAGAAAAGCCAAGTAAAAGAAAGAAAAGTTAATTTGCCTGCTATAAAGCAATATTTACGAGGTTTAATGCTCTGATAACGGAAGCCATCAGCCTACCCGCTGTATCCCTGAGATGACTGCCTTATCCACGTTTATCAGCACCTCACCCTCAATCTGCTCAACTCCCTCAGACCACACGGCACACCAGTGGTGAACCCAGCAGCTTCCTGTTTTATAAGAAAGGTTTTGCAGTTATAACACTTCTGAGAATAAAATACATTTAAGACAAGGTTTATGACAGGGCTGTCCAAACTCAGTCATGGAGGGCCGGTGTCCTGAAGAGTTTAGCTCCAACCCTAATTAAA